CACTATCTCAAAATAATCGTTATCAACAATCATCAAAATAGACTAACAAACAGGCAATCTAAAGTAACCAAAGCAAAATTCGGCTAGACTTATGAATAAACTGCATAAATGAGTCTAATTACATAAGATATTTGGGCTATCGTATGACTTATAGGGCATAAAAATAACACATGCCGGTGTAATGTAACATTTGGTTGATTTGTGATTTTCTACTGCCGCACCCCTAAGTGCTGCAGCGACGCATTTTTATCAATGCTTAATTGTTCTCACTGTCAATAATTTTCTCAATTTGATTACAATTGATGCGAATAATTCATTAAAACATTTGGCCAAACATTAGTTTTGACATTTGATGTACTTCCCTTTGACAACCGGAAACGGTTATTAAAGGGTACTACAAAAATGGCAAAATGAGGACAATTGGCATTTAAGATGACATTACGTATTTTCGATTCCCGTGTTTGACATAAATCAATGTAGTGCTATATCTTTTGGCTTACGACGGCACGCAGTAGTTAAACGAAGACAATAAAAATTTTATGTTTTCACCGTTTAAATGCATCATGTACATATAACATCCGATTTATATATGTCAATATAACATGTCCTTTGGTTTCCATAGTATATAATTAATATATTGAATTGACATGTGACAAGTTAACACGAGATCCTATTACACTACCTACTCAAACAACAGCCACTAACGTTAAGTAACAATAACCCATAACCCAATTTTGGGTAGAAACAATGAACCGAAGCATCAAAAGTTTGGCCGAAAACGGCTATAAACGATAAGTGGGAACATGGTTATTTCAAAAAAAATCTAGTAACCTCAAAAACACCGATGACACATAAATATACCATAGACCGAAATATTTGTTCACCGATTAAAACATCGATAATTAGTTAACCGATTTAAATATGTGACAAAGTGTACCTATAGTTTCAGTTAAGCAGCCTTACCCTTCAAAAGCGGAATACATTAATGCTCACATTAAAGCCATATTTCCCTGGACGAACTCATTCGCTTCTTTCACTTAAGCTCCTGGTCTCGACTAAACTCGCCATCTGTTTATCTTACAATGAAGAATATATTACTATAAATTGTGCGCGTATAATTAATCTGAAAAACGGTAATTGTTTCTTTGACGTACCGGTGGTGAAAGGCAAAGATATAAACAAAAATAACAATGTAGAGAAAATGATGAAAAGTACAAAGGTAAATTTTGTTAACGAAAACTGACCATGCACAGAATCTCTTAGTAGTGACTTAAACAAAAATCCATGATTTTGTGGGGAAGACGACCTTAAAATTTTAATCACCAATGGGAATAACATGGTAACAAATTTTAGGTATTATGTGTCGTCGTTACAGCAAATCCCAAATAGATTTCGCCATTCAAATCTTCAACCGCCTCCTTAGAGAGAAATGAGAATTCAAAACTCAAACACTCTCTTTACAACTCTCTTTACTAGAAATCCTTCGTAATATGCCAGATGCTTAATTTGCCGTGAAATTAAAAACTTATAACAATTTGTTATTTCGTGTTAGCTATAAATTTCCTTCTGAAACTTGTAGCTTTTTCTGCATTCGTTTGTTTTTATTACGTATTTTCCAAAATATGTTATACTTACGAGGAATATTACTTAAAAATATTAATGTGAGCAATTTATATTTCTTTACTTGTAATTGGTTTCTACCGTTAGCCGATAAAACTTTTTAATGATAATGATAATGATAATATATTTATTGCAGTTTACATAATATAAATAATACAAATTTTACATTATATTATTATATATTTTTCATGCTATTAAGTGAAGGGAGAAACTAGGTGTGAGCCTGGTGGTGAGCGACATGCTTACCCATAACAGTTGTATCCCACTCAGATCTCACAAAGATCCGAGCGGTACTGCCACTGCGCCTGTCACCCTGAGGCATGAAATTGACAAGTCCCTTGTGCCGTCAGGCGGCGGCACTTCCGTGGACCAACTTTTTCACGAAAAGCTCTATTTTATTAACTATTAGTAAGTAAATACCTAACCACAAATGTTTCCGTCATGTCTGATAAACAAAAATATTTTCAGTACGTTGATTTTTAGCACACGAACACTCTTTCTGTATAATGCTTCGTCATATTGTAACTTACGCAATTAAATTAAATTATTGGACATGTGTACATAATTGTTTCCAACTTTTTTGTAAGAATTCCTGTAGTGGTATTAGGTGTTAAGAATGTTTATTTCCAAATTGTGCATTGGATTCATAACAGGGTTTGTTGTTGTACAATCCATTATATGTAAGTAACTTCTAGTTGCGTAATTATAAGCACGCCATGAATTAATATGGACAGAATGTGGAGCCGAGTTGGAGAATGGTTGCTTTTCAAGTGAGGGGTTGACCTGCCTTTGACATTGCATCAATGCCTCTCGCTAACGATGAAGGGAAAGATCGTGATAAGGCCTGCATGTCGAAGACGATTCACAATCCTTGGAAAAAGTGTGAAGCCCCAACTTGCATTCACTTAGCTTGGTGAACAATGGCCTTAATCCTCTCCCTAAAATATACATATCCTTGCATGCTAATGAAACGTATAATAGATTGATTGATGATGATGGACAGAATATAAGTCATCTAGGGTAACGATGGTATTGAATGAATCATGCAACGTAAAAGACATTGCATTTATATTTTTACATGTCCTTTTGGAACACAGTATTACGCGCGTAATTTCAGTCGCGTGATTTCTGCTAAATTGAGGTCAAATTAACAGCACTCAGCAACACAGCTGCAAAATGTGTATCAAGAGTGGAATATATTTTTATGTTAAGCAGGTAGGCTTTCCAATCACGTCAAATATTTTCAAGACTATTATAATCACCACAACTATAGTTAGGCATCTTGTGAACCTCGGGTAATGTATTTGATTGTTATGACATAAACCGGTAGTTGCGTCATCTGAAATTGATCCGTTTTAGTAATAATTGCGTTCTGACTGAAAATGAGCATAGAAGTAAATTTAAACATCACTGTATATATTGATTTCAGTGTTAATTTTATGTCTATGTACCAATTAATATTGTATTGGAAATGTTTACAATAATGTACATTTGGTTACAGCAGAAACGTGCTTTTGGGATCCAATCATTGGAAAAACAAAATGCATCGATTGTTCCTGTAATGCAAACAAATGCGCTCTTTCCGAAAACTGTTCAACAACTGTGGACAGTTACCAGACGTCTCCAGCAGCCAGAAGTAGATATGATAATGCTGTTGCTACGAAACATTCTAGATTTGAATATACAAAACAACCTTACACTCACGGGAAACAAAACAATAAGAAAAAAGGTGGAGCTATACTTTCCGCAGTAGCGTTACAAGACTATTGGGATGACCAGCTTGAAACCTATAATGACAATGAATATACGTGGAATAGTTATGATATGCGTAAACTATCTCGAACGAAAGGTGAACCATCGCCTGTGAAATCACTGAATGTAAAATTACCTGCAGTAAAGAAGCTATTTTTTCGAAAGCCTTACGATGTGAAAAGGAAACCGTTTCGACATATGGTACGTCCACGACCGGAGCCATCGAATCTTCACAGGGTGTTGTTTCGTGCACCAAAAGAGCTGAGAGATGAAATATTCAATAATATGTCAATAATTCATTCATTGGAAAAGAAGAACGATGAGGACCAACGTCGTCTTGAAGACCTTCGGACATTTTTGATGACTTTAAATGATAACGAAATGTATGCTATGTTTGAATAAATGTGAAAAATATTATACTATTAGTAATTTAGTTCTGTTTCAATATCACAGAGAGTATTCTTTTCCTGTATTTCTTAATATCGTGACCAGAAAGGAACTCCCAAACTGGAAACACAAAATGTTTTAGGTGTACCAGAATCTCATGTTATTTAGGCAAATTTAAATTTTTAGTGGACAACATCAATTTAGTGAGAATTTATTTTTTATTCGATAAACATTATAACACTTTTTAAATAAAGTGCACTATATTTTAGTTAGGTACTATCAACTTGGAAATCATTATTGTGGGCAGCCAATATATTAAATTGACATTTGACAAGTTAACACGAGATCCTATAACACTAATACCTACTCTTTACAACTTTATAACGCAAAAAGCCCCGTGAATTTTGCTTACCTAGATTTGTTTAGATGACGCAGTGACAAATAATAATAATAAATAATAACGCACACACTCAACATAGCCCCGCAATAGGGAAACCCTATGTCGCGGGTGCCATGGACACACACATAGACAACCACAAATTACACCCAAACTCACGAGAGAACTGCCTTTGCGTGGCAGTCCGGCATGGTAATCGTTCGGCCACCGAGACAGTTTCAGCGACAGCGTTACAAAGACAGCGCGCTATCGACATGTTTTTAGTAGTGACGGAGATTGCTCAGATGTTGAACGGTTTACTATTAACTCCATGATATATATCGTCATTTATTAGATAGTATAGATTTGCATTAAGACAAATTTAATACAGGATTGCGAATACATAACGAACGTTCATTTAAGTTATTCTTTTATTTACGAATTTCAAAATTTAATTTCATGATAAATAATTGATGTTTTTATGAATCCTTTATGATCGTATTGCATAAAAAGAAATGTTAATTTACGTGATAAAATTAACTGAAATAATGAGACTAATCGTAATTCTCAAAAAAATACCTTTACTTTATCACGGTAGGTGAAAGTTAGTATAATACATCTAAAAACTATGTGGGTTACACACAATTTTAGCAGAGAACCGCATTCGAAAATCATTATTTAATAAGAAATTGCAGTTATCGCAATTTTAAGAACTTTCGTAGCTCATTACTCAAAGTGGAATATTTTGCATTATGTCACTATCATTCTTAGTGTGCGAATATTAGGATCGTATATTAAACAGTCTTCACTGTTTAATATGTACAAAAGGAATAATTAGAAAAAACTATAATTAGAAAAAACTTACCTGCTGCGGGTGACAGCTTGGTGACAACACCCCATCGCGACTTCCACTGAAACAAACAAATGCACCGATTAATATAATCAAATCTTTTTTTTATAAGAAAGAACTTGTCGTCATTGGGCACGGGTCCTCTCTAATACACACATATAAATATCACATACCTCTCTAATATCACATTAATCGAGATTGCATAGGTGTAGTCTTATCGCGATAATTTTACTACGGCATGCACTATGGCATTAGTCATTAAGGGCGCGTTCAAATTAGCCACGCGGCGGCCGCGCGACGGCCGCGCGATTGTCACTTTTCATACAATTTCTAGAAGCGCTGCGACCGCGCGGCGGCCGTGCGACTGTCGCGCTGCAGTCACGCTCGGTTGCATCACAGTTAGTGAGGTGTACATGTTAATTTTTCAAATTAACTACGATGGACTAAAATCGAGTTGAAGAATTTATAGAGAATGCAGAACAACACCTTGCAATATGAGATATCAGTTCCGCCAGTTATTCTAATCGACTGGAAAAAAAGGCATGGGAAAATTTATGTCTAATATTTATTGACAATTTTCAAACTAAAACTACAAATGAAAAAACAGCAGGTTGTGAGTAATTTTTAATATCTATACGTGAAGTGTGTGCCCCAAGAACTCTGACACCCCTAACTATATACCTTTTGGTTCTGAAAACGTAAAAATCCCATAAAAACCAGTAAGCAATGTGAAAACTATTTACAAATATTTTTCGTAAATCGAGTTTTGTAATTATTTAATGGTGGTATTCATTTTGATTATTTTGACAAAATAAAGGTAACAAACGGATTTAAAGGTGCATACGACATTGTCGATTAACAACGGGAATTAGAGACGTTTCGAGTTGTTTGGAGTGCTCATTGAGAATGTGGCATTAATTTCTAAATCCAAGATGGTTGCCAAGAATTTAAAAAAAAATATTTTTGGTAATCCTTACGCAAATGGCATTTATATCTGAATACATGATGGCTGACACGACTTTTCACATTTCTAAATGCAAGATGGCGGGCACGCTTTCTCAAATAAAGGCAAGTTGGGTATCGTTTTCGAGGTATTTGGGGGTGGTCATTACGAATATAGCACTTATTTGTAAATGCAAGATGGCGGACTAGATTTATCAAAAAATGCTATATGGGTATCCTTTTCAAGGTATTTGGGGATGCTCTTTACGAATACGGCACTCATTTCTAAATCCAAGATGGCGGGCACGATTTTTCGAATGATGGCAAGTTGGGTATCGTTTTCGAGGTACTTGTCTCATTACGAATACATTTATCATTACAATATTAAATTTAAATACCTTAGATCGAGAATTCCTGTAAGAACTAAACGGGTCACTACCACCTATCTTTGTCAGCCAAGTACGCAGAAGCTGTATAAATAACCTTTAGTGTAAAGTTTTTGTTTCACAATAGTTTTAAGCCACAAATGGTAAATTTTGAATATACAAGGGACAATTCCCTTAAATGAATTTGCGACTTTATGAAGACGACTGTCAATAATAGCTGGTTTATTTTTATTCCTCGTATTAATATTATGTCTGTCACTATTTTTCATAAAAAAGAATAACATTTTTCTTAGCATAAATACCATTTTCATAAATGTACTGTGACGTTAGTGTAAGAATGTTAATCTCTTTAAACTTATTTCTCAAAGACACTCTGGGGCCCAAATTGTAAATTAATAATAGTAATAACGCACATACTCAACATAGGGGCTATGTGCACTAGGTAAAAACCCTGTATCGCGGGTGCCATGGACACACACATTTTAAGAACCTCCTCCTTTTTTGAAGTCGGTTGAAAAAGTTACGTATACAGCCGTGATTAGTAAACAAAGGCCGATCTAAAAAAGGCCCTTTGTATGCCTGTGCTAATGCGTTGGGTAAGGTGGCTGCCGGTCCTTGGGTTTCCCAGACAATCTATTAATTTTTTGGACAAAATTTTGTACAGATGAAGGGCACTGGGACCCCACGGGCCAGGGGCTTCGACTCTAATGGCTGTAAATAGTCGATCGGAGCCAAGACTATGGTACTTATTACTTTTTATCCTTTCCGCCAGCTCAGCTGTGGAACCAGCCCTTTTGCTGGTGTGCTGGAGATGGGATGAGGCAAGTGTGTCGGCACACGTGGCGTTCCACACCGATGCCCGACCCATACTCCAAGGGATGACCGTCATTCCGTCCGAGTAAAGCGGGCACGTTAACCGTGGCTAAGGCTCGACGGATGTCGTTGAAGGCTGCATGCAAGGAGATATGGCCGGCGCTCAGCTGGCAGGGAAGACCGTGGTGACCCAGAGCAATTATGTCTTTACCGCAAGGACACCGATGCGGGGAGAAAACATTCCCACCTGGACGTCGCTTCCAGGCGCGCTCGGTCTATTGGGGTGCGATGATTCTTTAAGTCATTTAAAGTCTTTTTGCATTTACATTTATAATTCACGTATTATTTAGAAACAACATGGAACTGCTAAACGTGACACTTCATGGATTTTTGTCATCTCAAGACTTATTTGACAATCTATTGAGTGAAGTTTATGTTTCGCTGTAGCTTTAATCCGGGTGAATGGCACAATTTTGAATAACTGAAATCCTGTCGTGGAGAGTCTTAAAACTTGCTAAGTGAATTTTTTTCTTTGTGAAGCCGACAGGTATTCATATTTATCACTATTTTTCATAACCAAAATATTATTATTCTCATCATATATCCGCTCACGCGATACGTGCAGCCGTAGACGCATACCACACCTAGAGGTGCCGGCGATGATTTTATACTGATTTATCGGATATCGAAGTTATAACAGGTAAAAGAACTAATATGAATTGCTATTTCGGTAACTACTCTAGCAAACCATAAAGTTTTTAATGCCTGAGTCTGTCATTAAAAAAAATAAACAACTTCAAAAATACGTCACGACAATCGTGTGTGTTATTGTTTGGGCTGGTGATTTCGGTGTTTATTTATTGAAAATAACTAGCGTTTTTTAAGTTTACCCTGAATATAAATGTTTATAAACTATACTTTAAGGAGTAATTTCATGGTAAACGTCAGAACCACTCAAACGGAATATTATCATATTTACCCAAGTACACCAAAAATTTCATTAGTGCTTTTTAAGTGCAGGATTTGAGGTGTATTACTGCATTTTATTTGAGATGTTTTTGTTGTAGTACGGAGGGTATTTATTTAGCAATGTAGAATAATAATTTTTATTTATAAAAACTTGTATTTAAACTGAATTGTTTTCTAATTTGCGAAACCAAATAGCCGCCATTTTGCGGTAGGATGAGCGCATCGCGTGAGCGGCTAAAATAAAGTCAAAATCAAAGAATCGTTTATTCCATAGGTAAAATAAATTTACATTTGAAAACATCATATTTAGGCTGATGCTCGTTCACTATGCTGAGTTCCCTGAGAAGAACGACCAAGAAAACTAAATTAAACTTAAATGCTATGGAATACACTTTGAATCAAATTCGTGTGGAATCTAGATCTACATATATCCATATCCAAATATCTATCTCCAATCCATACATCTCTAACTAATACGTAGTATTCAATTTTGTAATATGACTTTTCAATTAAAATATTTTTAATGTAGTTTTTAAACTTAGGAAATAATTACTTTCATGAATATACTGTGACGCTGGTGCAAGAATGTTAATTTCTTTATTGTTACATTTTATTTACGGTAGAAATAATAATGGCCGGATAATAGGAAATGCGTGCTTGTGTTTCAGCTTTTTGGAAATAATTGGTTATTTTTGTAATTAAGTAATTACCTAATGGGCGAGTCAATAAAATATTATGGCGTTAGTTTGAATAGAGTGTTCCACGGCCTACTTTCTGAAATGGCCGATTTGGTTACGAGACGGCTTCCCTTTTGATTATGTCCCATGGTGTACGGGACTAATTGTTCAGGCTTTCGTAGATAATAAAAAAGTACTCTACCCTTAGTATTTCAATTGAGTCCAATCAAAAACGCGGCGTCGATGCAGCACACGCTTTGATAGTTAGAATGTTAGGCAACACTCTATGTGCTACACTTTGCGTTCGGACAAATGATCCTATCCACATTCACTCGCCGAAAGGAGCTGGGTTACAAATGAAACAGAAAAACACGCATCAAGGAAATACGCAAGTTAAAAAAATTCATAAAACGGTCACAGTTGATCTTAACCCGCTCCCGCTGTCTCTCATAAAACCTTCTTCGCTAATCCCTTGCACCTCTTAGTACATCACGCATTTATCGTTCAGTTATAAGACTAGGCTCTACACGCTTTTGCGACCGCAGATATTATAGATGAGTGAGTATTTGTCTCATCAGCCACAAACCTGAATTTCATCTTTCTTCTCCCAACTTTAACTCAACTCGCTCCCGCTATCTCTCTTGAAACCTCCTCCGCCAATATTTTATCCAATTCAGTTAATCATGCTAATAATATTCAACGCCTTCTAGCATAAAGCACGCGCGCGCTCGGTCTCTGTTTTAACACAACTCGCTGCCGCTACTTCTCATGACTCCGCTATCTGCCTCCTCCAAGTTCATGTTTTATGCTACTTATTACATCAGACATGTAGCGTTCAACGCGTTCCGGCAATAAAGCCTCGTGTTTTACCGCGCTAAGTCACGCTCACTCTTTATCACTTTTTACTGTTGTATCTCGCGCGATCTCCGACCTGTACTTAATTTTTATTTTGGTTTTTAATTAACTTTCGAATCTCATAACTTCCAATACGTAAATAAAAATCACGAAATAGAGATTTTAATGAACGTATGCAATCACAACTGTATGTAGTAAGTAGACTTACATTTAAAATAGAGGCAAACTTAGTTAGATCTAAACTCTAGATAACTTTTGAATGTAAAACAAACAAAACGGATGACAAAATGAAAAAGTGCTATTGTGTTTTCAGACAACAATCTTCTCACACTGTAACGAAACAGTACATCGTCCTGCGTGACTAACTGAGACCCTAGATATAGTTTTAGCAATTGTATTATTACCAACTATAACCTCAT